ATTAAAAACCATTGCCAATAGCTGCTAATTTGCTTCCTGATTTTTTTTTAAAAAAAAACACAGTGGTTTTGCATATGTGCCATTTCAGCCTCCAGTTTTTTAGGACATGATTCCTAATTTTGGCTTCAACTCCTATGGACCAGCAAACTGGAATCATAATAATAATGTGCTTTCACGTTGAGTATGACTTATGACAACCCACCCAGACTTTTCTAAATATAAAGCACTTGGAAATAGTTGACCAGCTCCTGCTTTCGGTGGTGGTCCGGGCCCATGTAAAGGTGGCACAACAGGCTGGGCATGCGACCCCAAGAGTTCCACACCTTCTGTGTGGTCTCAGTTGGCACCTTTCCTGCCATGCCCAGTGGGGATTTGAACTCGCATGCCCTGGCTGTGCAGCTGGGTAATCCAAGTCATTAATTTATGCTAGAAGAACACCAGATAAAAACCCCTTGCACACATTGGAACACTGAGAACCAAATATCTAATGACTAAGCATACACTCGCTTCCTTCGAAAGAACCAAATGCCGGTTGACCGTGAGTAATGATGGATAGATGTGGGCAAAATGTTTGCAACCAACACCAGTGGCTCTTGTGCATGCCTACTCAGGAGTAATACATAATCCTTTGCCTCCAGTGAATGCATGCACTAAGTAGGAGCTTCTGGAACAAGATATGCTTTTTTTTCTCTTATGAGCCTCAGAAGGTGCAAGGTGCATATTTCATATGGCTTGTAAGGTTTCCCACCACCACCCTGGCAAGGAATTTCTATCTTGACCCAAAACAAAAGGGCATTCACAGAAACCCTGCTAACATCTTATTAATTTTGCAGCTTATCTGATATTATCTGGTCTTAAAATTGGGCCAGCGGGCTGTATTAGACTTGATGGGGAAGTCAACTATGCTGGCTGGCTGGGCTGAAATCAGTATTTCAGAACTGGCCTTAAAAGAACAAGGAAATAAATCCACTCTCCCTGCTAAGGAATTGATTGAGTAAGGGAGCAGCACTGGCAAAATGTCTGGGGATGGGCCCATAGGTAACATTAATTCATGGGAAGATAATTGTTACAGAATTGTTTTCAGTCCTGCTATTATCATTATTAGTATAATAGCACAGCGCCATTCATCTCGGTGCTCCAGGGGACTTCCAAAATGCGCAGATAATTGAATGCTCCGATAAATACAGGGAAAGTGCCTGTCCTTAGAGATAATCATCCCCGACTGAACAGTGAGTTCAGTATTATTTTTGAAAAATCCCATGCCAGTGAATTCACAGAGTTGGGGATGCTTTTGTACCGATGCTAATTCGGCACTAGGAACAGTCTTTGGACCAACAACAGGTATTCAATCTTTTGAATGCCATCCCTTGTAGGATATATACTGAGGTTGGGTTTTTTTGGGTTTTTTTAGCTGAAAAGCACATTCCGGGCCATCTAAGGTTTTCATTTGAATCCCAGAAGCAGAAAACGAGGGGGGGGGGGAATGGAAAAGAGAAAAAGCTGATGTAAGCATCATTGGTGAAAATAAGCTGAAAAATTCCAGGCAGCAAGAGATTTGGATAACAAGGAAGCTTCTGCAGTCTATTGCCGTATACACTGTTTCATGGCAGATTGCACCAAAAAAGAATACAGGTTAGGTTAGAGGCATTGGGAGCATTGGAAGACAAAACTGCTCTCTTGCAAAGCAGTCATTGAGGCTCTTGATGGCTCATATACCCCACAGGTTTACATTGGTTTAACCTATTTATTTATTTATTTATTTATTTATTTGATTTATATCCCACCCATCTGATAAATCTATACCACTCTGAGCGGCTAACAACAACATATATACAATTATACCATCCTTGCCTTTTAGCTTAAGGAGCCCTGCAAACTATTATACTGCTGAAAAAGGCTACAGACTTCTAAGGAAGAAGTCTGAATCTCTGGTCCCAGCAACAATCAGAGATGCTATAAAAGTGAAAATAGGTAGGTTTTTAGAAAATTTAAATAAAATATAAGTCCATTGTACAAGAAGGGGCTGCTTCTTTGAAAATGCCATGCTTTTGACTCTCTGTGGGGAATCTGTTTCTTCATATCCCGTAATATCTGAAGGACTTTGTGTGTAAGAGAGTCAGTAAGAATGGGGCGGTTGTAAATATGACTTAGGAGTTGTTCCTCACCCCTGCCAGAAGAAACCGTCCTCCCAGACTAAACCGTAACATGCTGCATTTACTCCAACAGAAAATGCCTCTTAGCTCCCTCTTAGCTTGCTGGGAAGTTCAGCTGGATGGAAGAAGAGGAGCTGCTGACACCAGGTTGTTGTGCCCTTGCTCAGAAGGCCAGCCCATGCTTGGGCAGATTCAACCCCTGGTATCTTCAATTAAAAGGACCAGCTAGTTAGTGTTGAGACAGAACCTGGTAGAATCCATGCAGCTCAGAATCCAGAGTATTAGGATACATAGGCTAGTAGTATAACCAAGCATAAACTAGCTCCCTACGATCTAAGAGCAAAGTTTCAACATTTAATTTTACCTTTTTAAAAAATCTGAATGCTACAAGGCACCAGCCTGGGATAATTTTTTTGTCATCCGATCACACACAAGGAACACTGGACAACGTCAAGAAGCACAGATCGAATTGGCTTTTAAGCCCCATGGGTTGTTTCTCCTCTATCATTAAGTGAAGCTTCATCCTCATCACCACAAAAGACTCTAAAAAGCTTACAATTACAGTACTAGAAAAGTAAAAGTAACTCATCAAGTTACATTCTTGCGTTGGGAGGAATTAATTACCAACAAACTGTTGTTTGTAATTAGTTTTTCCCAACTCTGCTGAAGAGCCTTGTAACTCACTAAATAAATCCTCTTACGCAGATGGTCAGGCTGGGATTCATTTCTTGCAGAAGCATCCTTTTTGATGGGAAGATATTGCTTAGTCAACACAGACAATACGAGCCCCTGTGTTCTTTCCCAGGAAGAAGAACCTGGCTAGATTATCTTATTCTTGTCCCTCCTGATAATCACAAGAGCAGTAACCAGGTAGGCATCATGAGATGGACAGCAGGACTGGAAGAGGTCCACTTGATGTCCTTTGCCACTTCAGCTGGATAGTTAGACCAAAATGAGATGGACAGACTGGGACAAAGCTGGACAAAGTTACTTTTTTTGAACTACAACTTGGGGGGGGGGTAGCGAGATGATTTCAGGAGCTCTTGTACTTTCCCAAGTTCTGAGTGTCAGCATTTCTCCATATGCGTGTCTAGATTTACAGCTTTAGGAAACTGCAAGAGATGACTCTTGGTGTTCGGTCGTACATTCTAACTAGGAATTAGAGATGCTTGATGACTTTTCTCCAGCTTTGCAAATTATAGAATCACCCTGGATGTGATTCTCAAGGCTGGAGAAAGTGACCAGACATTTCTAAGCTATCTTTCTTTGCTACAAAATAAAACCCACAAAAAAGTTTGGAGTGGGGGAAGCAGTCACCTCTGCGATGGAGGGAGATGTGGCTGATTCAAGGGCATTCACATGACTCTACTACTCTCTGAAACAGGCCCCTTCATCTGGACTGCAAAACCCCCAGAGCCAGAAAGAGGCAGCACTATTAAGGCTATCTAACCGGAACGTAAGCACAAGCCTTTGGAGGCAGAGAGATTTAATAGAGTTTCTAACTGGAGCTTAGCTGGAGAATGACAAGCCGCCATCACTTTGTCCCCGAGTGATGTCCCACCTGACCTTGCCAGAAGTGTTTTTTTGAGACCTCTGCAAAAGTTCTTCTGAAAGCATGGCCGATAACCATTCACAAGGGGCAGAAATGCATTCAACTGGGAAGGCTTTTCTGCAAACAATTCATTGAGTTATTTGGGGAGGGAGGAAAGGCTGTTGCCTATTAATCTTGCACAAGTCCTTATGAACCACATTTCCAACTCCCTTGTTTCTCGCTTTTCACCCGTCAATACCATTAAGATGAATTCCCATCATCTAGTTCCAACAGTGCACGAACTGAGCTTGACTTGCTCCCTACCTAGAAGACCAATGCTGCTTGTTTCAGTTCCTTACTCTTCCTTCCAGTTCTGTACTTTGAGTCTTAGCTTTTATCATAGCTTATCATTCAACGATGAGTTCAATGATTGGCAAGAACATGGTATAGCGGCTTCTTGCTCTATCACTGCATTTAAGACTGTGGTGGCAGAGCTGTGTTCACTTCCCTTCAATCCAGTCCTATAGAAGAAGGGGAGATTTATCTCTGAGTAAACATGCGCTAAACATGACTGCTGTCTTTATATCTAACTGCAGTACTTTTTACAGTCACACTGGAATGAATTTCAGAGACTCTGCCCTTCACCTTTGTTACTGCCCCTTGTTCCTTCAAAGCCCATAATTCATTCAAAGCATTAAAAATATATCCTACTTTGCTTTAAACTTCAGCATGGCTTAGATTTTAGGTGCAAGAATAAACTTTTTCACTCCAATCGCTCCTTCCTCTACACGCTTCCCATTTCAGCCTAGAGTGTTGGCCACAACCCGTTCCTTCCCCTGTTTGAAAGTGTCCTGGTTCACACTTGCTTTTCAACTCGTGATGAGAAGACCATATTGAGTGGCCTCGTTGACGATCCGCACGCGTGAAGGCTTTATCCCAGGTCTCACAGAATAGAAAGAAATTTCAGACTAGGAGCACCAGATTTTTCGGCAGAGGGGGAATCACGCACGTTCACCTGCTTCTCACTGAGACGGGGGTACTCGAGCAATGATGTGGAAATTATGGGATGCCCAGGCAGCGAGCGGAAAAAAAGAACCAAGCCGAATGTTTAAGTTCAGTGTGGAAAGAAGGTTGATCTTGTGAGTAAAGTAAATAAGTAAACACATGCAAGAGGAGAAGAAAGGAAAAAGAAGAAAGGGAGAAAGAGCGAGCGAGCGAGCGAGCGAGCGAGGGAGAGAGAGAGAGAGAGAGAGAGAGAGAGAGAGAGATCTTTCTTGAAAAGCCATAGCTAAAATGCCAGCGCATTGATTCGGTACCTGGAAATGCAAAAGGCTTGAGATCAGCCAGCTGCCTCCATACCAGGCTGTCCGTGCCGGAATTAGAGAGTAGATCGACCCTAGCTTTGGAGGGACCCTGGACCATCGTCATGGGGGCTAGTCAGCCAGGCACCAGTAGTAGCCCACGACGGGATGTCAGGATCCTCTTGATGGGTTTGTCGCTGGGAGAGAGCCAGTGCAACGAGCGCCCAGGCGATCTGGCTTGGAGGAGACGCGTCGTTCGCCTCGCAATCTTTCCGGAAGGCGTTCGGCGCCGAATTAGTACTGGAGACAGAGCCCGGCACTTTTCTCCACCCCGCCTTCTCCACCCCGCCTCCTCCAGCCCCCAACCTCTACTTCCCCACCCCCCCCCCCCCCCCGACGACGGCTCCCTCCCAGACCCCCCCGGGT